CCTTTAACTCTTTCCTCTCCCAGCTGTTTGTTACCTACGGTAACCGGCTGGCCAATCAGGTGTGGGCTCCAGTTGTGCCGGCAGCAGAGCAGCTGCGACCAGACTCGTCTGACGAGGAGAGATCAAAGTTCATACGGGACAAATACTGCGGGGGGCGCTACAGACGAGTCCACATTCTGGCGTCCTCGCACTCTCTGATGGACCAGGTGTGACATTCAAACACAGTTACCATAGTAACTCACCGGTATTCAATTAAATTCAATTCAATTNNAGACCGAACTCCTTTTAACATTGATGAACACATTAATGGTAATGTATAAGGTATGAACACCTTAATGTGAATGTATGAACACATTAATGTTAATGTACGAGATATGAGCACATTAATGGTAATGTATGAGGTATGAACACATTAATGTGAATGTACGAGGTATGAACACATTAATGTGGATGTATGAACACATGAATGTTAACGTACGAGGTATGAGCACATTAATGTTAATGTACGAGGTATGAACACATTAATGTTAATATACAAAGTATGAACACATTAATGTTAATATATGAGGTATGAATTGTGAGATGTATTTCAGTATAAAAAACAAGAATTCTGTGCGAATAAAAACGCTTCAGAAAAAAATCAAAGTTTGGATAAAATGAATAATAATAAATGTTTTTTGATTGGATGTTGTATTTGTTGTTGCAGAGGCTGCGCGAGGTGGTTAGTGGAGCCGACGTAGAAGAAACAATGTCTCTGATCTGCTCAGGAGCAAAGGTCTGATGGGTTTACACCGTATCTCACCCTATCACACCGTACCACACCGTATTTAACCGTATCACACTGTGTCACACTGTACCACACCTCATGGTTTCACTGTTGTTGTTGTGAACGTGATTGTTTTTTTCATACATAAATGTTGACATGCGACAGCAGGTAAATGAGGTGTAAATTGGTTAGTGCATCCTGTTTCTGACTGATGTTACCTGTGTGCAGGTGTGTCAGTCAGACCCTCAGAGTCTCTCCCCCATCGTGCTGGCTGAGAGGGCGGGTCAGGCTCTGCAGAGTGAGCTGCTCCGACTCAACGAGTACACAGGTAACACACACACATACACACACACTGTACTCCGGGATACTGTGACATCACTGGTGGGTGTGGTCGTTGATGATTCTTTAATCAGGTCTGTTATTTTCTGTTTTTATTCAGAGGTCCCACCCAACCTGCCACAGTCAGCCAATAGCGGACCTGACTTCGCCCCCTTAGGTATGATGGATTTACAGTGAGCTAATGAAAAGACGTGTTGATGATTTGTTTGTCTTTTTTTAATGAATGATGTTTGAAGTTGTATGACATCAGTATGGTGGCTCTGAGAGGACAAACATTGAAACATTTCACAAAAACAACAAAGAATAAGTATATTTATGTTTGTTATTTGCTGAAATCTTTTTGTGTTTTGAACCAAAAGGCCACCGTACAGCAATCACTGTACTAGTGTAAAATGTCACCAAAGTCTGTCTGTGTGTGTGTGCAGGTGAGGAAGAGGAGGAGCTTCATGGTAAACTGGAGGAAGATCGTTTTCTCTTCTCGTTAGAAAACAACTCGGCAACGTGTGATGTCCTCGACCTGCGAGAAGTTCTGTCTGTCTTCCTCAAAGACGGGTAAATACTACTAATACTAATACTGATACTAATACTAATACTAATACTGATATTGCTACTACTACTGATACTAATACTGCTACTGATATATACTATATGATACTAATGTATTGATTTTCTTGTTTAGAACAGTGTCACACTAAAATTAAAGACCAGAGCACCTGCAGGTTAAAGGTTCTGTATATGACTTTCAGAACCACTAGATGTCGCACTGGAGTACCAGAACTAAACAATGGGCCCACCAGACTCCAGAGAAAAAAACACTAAATTTATCTTGCAGATAATTAACAGTAATAACTGCAAAACAGGCTACTATATCAGCAACAAAAGCTTGGAAACAAAAAGTGCGTCCACTAATTAATAAAATTCCTCTTGACAGAATCCGGTCAATGCGGGGCCCTG